CAGTGATACCTGGCTGGAGTTTTGTTGTTGTTGTTGTTGTTTATTTGGGTTTTGGGGGTGTTTTTTCCCAAGGCTAGGGATGGATCCCAGGGTCATGCACATGCTAGGAAAGTGCTCACCACTAAGCCACAGCCTTGTTTTGGGGGTACCAGGGATTGAACTCAGGACCTTGCACTCGCGAAGCAGGTGGCAGAACCACTGAGCTAAATCCCCGGCCCAGCCCTTTTTAATTCTACCTTGAGACAAGGTCTCAGTAAGTTGCCTGGGGTGGACTTGAACTTGCGATCCTCCTGCCTCAGCCTCCCAAGTAGCTGGGATGGCAGGTGTGCACCGCCTCAACTGGCTCATCTGAATGACTTTATATATGAATTGTTTGCATTCGTCCCATTTCTTGCCTTCTGAGTGGGACCTGCGAAGGCACTGTCACCATAAAGAGATCATCTTTTGACGCGCTTGTCTCGGTAATATTTCCCGGGTCAGTAGGCTTGGCCTTTCGTTTTATTGGTGTTTGTCCTGAAATTTGAGGTATTGGTCCGGGATCATAGTTCTCAATCATCTGGACTCTCTCTGTGGCTTTGGTTGCTAGGTAACCCCTCTGGGATGGAGAAGGCTGGGTGCTGTTTGCCTCTAACTTGTATATTTTGGGTTTTCATCCATGGCTATGTACATGAAACCACCCCTGGGGAGCTCCTGGCGGAGAGCGGGTGTAGGCCAGGGATGCAGCGGGACCCAGGACGCCCACGACGACGACGGCTGGGTCTGGTGTGGGAGCTGAGGGGGCTCTGAGTGACCCAAACGTTCTGCACACCCAGCCCCAGGTCCCGCCCGACCCCCTAGCTCCAGCCTGTGTCTCCGCCCAGCTCTTTCTACCTGGCGCTGGGCGCACTGCACCCTGCTTCGGTCCCCTCCTCCCCACCCCACCCCTGTGACCCTGCAGGACCCAGCTGAGCTCAGGGTGCAGCTCCCTGGCCTTCAGCTCGGGGCCAGCACAGGGCCTGGCGGCATCTGTGAAAACCTCAACCCCAGGTCATGCCCGGGCCTCGCCAAGCCTGGACCTGCCCAACGGGAGGCTGCGGCCGCATCTGGACCCAGCACCAGACGGGGGGCCTCTGCCATGTGCGCCAGGCCCAGAGCTCCGCTCGTCCAGGCAGGCCTGGCTCAGGCAGAGTGGTGCCACTCGCAGCCCCACGGCCGCTGTGGGGAGGATGTGCCCACTGACTCAGAGCCACCGCTGAGTGTTTTGCTGGTGCTGACTTGGTCTTCGGTGCGGGCATGGCTGGCCCATGAGTCAGGGACCAGCCAGGGTTACCAGCCACGGCGGGACATCAGGAAGTGGCAGCATGGTATGCAGGTGACGCAACGGGTGTCTGAATCACAGCTGCTCAGCACGAGCAGGTGCACGTGCAGATCCCTGCACTCACGCACATACAGGTACACACACATGCACACGGCACGCTCACACTCAGGCACACGCCAACACGCAGACAGACACCTTACACACAGCAAGTTTTATGCCAACACACAGGCACAGACCTGGGTGTGCGCCCACTGCAGACCCACTCATGCCCCTGTGTGCATACACACACTGGCACGCCCATCACACGCACACACTGCTGCGATGCGCAGAATTCGCACTCAGGCCCACATGAACAGACCTGCTCGTGCTCACGTGCACACGCAGGGAAGCACACAGACGTTCACAGTACCCTTGCACTCGGACACATGCACACATGAACACACATTCACACAGAAACAAACGCGTGCACACACAAACACGCATGCAGACTGCGCCCGGCTGGCTGGGAGCCTCTGTCTCTGGGCTGGCTGCGGGGACAGTGGGGTCCTGGAGTCCTAGGGGCCACCTCTGGATGCTGACTAGGACCCCTCCACTGGCTTCCAAGGAAAACAGCCATAGGGCCAACCCGTTTGTCCCCTGCCCAGGTCTATATTTAGCGCTGAGTAATTTAGGTATTTTAAGCCGAGGCCAGGGCGGTTTTCCCTGTGCTGGGTGCTGTGTGGCCGCTTTGAAGCCAGTGTTGAATCAGATCCCTGTAGCCCACATGGCCTGTGCTCCGGCGCCCACACCGACTTTCCTGCCCCTGAAGGGAAGGCGCTGGATGTCTGCCCGCCTCCCAGGCAGCCAGCGCGGGGCCAAAGGATTTTTTTCTAAACTCAAACTGTGATCGGCATCCACTTGTAACAACAAATAACAGAGAAATTCTGTGTATCTTTCACCCAGCCATGCTCATAGTAACATTGTGTCAGACTGTGGTCAGTCTCAATACCAGGATGTCAAGAAAAACACAAGGGGCTTCCTACTCTGATCTTCATCGCAGGGGTGGGTGTGTGTGTGTGTGTGTGTGTGAGACAGGGTCTTGCTAAATTGCACTGGAATGTGCGATCCTCCTGCCTCAGCCTCCCAGAAGGCTGGGAAGACAGAAGCCCAGCTCCATCTCCCTTTTATACGGAGAGCATTTCTCTCACCAGCCCCAGCCCCAGCCCATCTCCCGGCTCCCTGACCCGGTCCAGGGCTCCTCCGTGCAGGGTAAAGGAATCCTGCCTCTGTGGGGTGGAGATCGGCTCCGCCCTCCACAGCATTCCCCGGAGATCCATGGCCAAGTAGGAATTTTTCCAGAATCTGAACTCTGTCTTTACTTGTCTGCGGCTACCCAGCTCAGCCGGCTACAAAGCAGACAGCGATGTCAGGCGTTAATGACAGACACTGGAAGCTGCATAATTAACTGGCTGTGCGTCTGCCCTGCGTGGATTGGGCTCTTGGGACTCCAGACCTGGCTCCCCACAGCCCTCACGCCGGGCCTGCAAAACACCCACCGAGCTGTGCCCGGCATGTTCTGCGGCACAGCCCAGGCACTGCAGGGTGTTGAGCAGGGTCCCTGGCCTCGGCCCACCACACACGTGTCCCCAGATAACTGTCACCTGGTGTCCCGGGGAGGGCAAGAATCACCCCTGGTTGAGAGGCCCTGGGTTAGTGCTCGTCAAATAAAAATGAGATGCAAGAAATAGAATTTTCATCTCCTAAAGCAACAGAAAAGATCTGTATAACTCAATTAGAGAAGTAAATTACCTTCCTTCATCCACTGCTGGTGGAAACATAAAGTGGTCCCGCCATTCTTCAGGAGGTTTGAATCTTATTTACTGAGACAGGGTCTCCCTGTGTAGTTCAGGTTGGCCTTGAACTCACTGTGCAGCCCCAGCTGGCCTCAAACTCACAGAGATCCTCCTGTCTCAGCCTCCTGAGAGCTGCGATTACAGATGTGTGCCACCATTCTCAGCTAAACAGTTTCTTTACACACACACAAACCCCACATACTACCTGACCAAGTGACTGCACGTCTCAGTGTTTATCCCAGAGGAATAAAGAAGCCACACGACAGGCTGGGGATTTAGCTCAGTGGTTCCACTGCCTGCCCCGCAAGTGCAAGGACCCGAGTTCGATCCTCGGTACCAAAAGAAAAAGAAAAAAAAAAAAGCCACATGACCACGTGAATGTTAACAGCATCTATACTTGTGATAGATAAAAACTTGAGTTGACCCTCAAATCTTGTGCAAGTTGATTTCTCTATGCAGTATGAGTGACTGAACCCAGGGCCTTTGCACTGAGTTGCACCCCTGCATCCCTAGATCTTTTTTTTTTTTTTTTTTTCCTGAGGCGGGGCTCTCACTAAATCATCCAGGCTGGGCTTGAACTTGGGATCCTCTTGGCTCAGCCTCCTAGAGGGCTAGGAAGACAGATGTGTGCCGCCACACCTGCTCAGGTGGATGTTTTCACCAGCTGTGGTCCATCTCCTGGGTGGAAAAAGCAAAGCCACTGACACATGCAACAGGCTGAGAGAGGTCATCAATCCCAAAAGGCTACACTCTGTGCGGTTCCATTTGTTTAACATTCCTTAAAAGACAAACTGTGAGAAAGAACATCTGAGTGTCTTCCAGAGATTTGGGATAAGGTGAGAGCTGGGATTCGCAGGAGAAGCTATCACAAGGCACTGCAGGACGTACCCTGGATGGGTAGGTGTCAAATCGTAGCTCCCTACTATGCCAGGGTGCCAACACGGTTGGGAACCCAGTGGTCCCCATAGAGATACCCAGACCCTCTCTAGCATTGCTTTAAATTCCACACTGTCAAGCCTGCAGTGTGGGAGGCCGAGGCAGGACGATTGCAAGTGCAAGCCCAGCCTGGGCTTCTTTAGTGACTCAGAGAGACCCTGTCTCAAAATAAAATGTGAGTAAAAGGGCCTGGGATGGAGCTCAATTCAAAGGCCCTGGGTTCCATCCCTTCCACCCCCATCCTAGAAGAAGAGGGAGATTTGTACGCAGAAGAGACAGCGGTGAGAGGAGTCGGTGGTGTGGTCACAGCCGAGGGACAGCTGGAGCCCCAGACTCTGGGGAGGCCGGAAGGGGTCCTCCAGCCCCCGGAGTCAGCAAGGCCCTGCACGTAACTATGGCTCGGCCTCTGGGGTCCAGGCTGTGGGCAGATGAATTTCTGCTGTCTTAAGCCACTGTCACAGCCCCGGGGCCCCAGTAGGGCCCTTGCAGTTTCTTACCCGGCCCCCTCCCTGCGCTGCTCTGAGAAGGGAAGGAGAGCGAGGGCTCTGGCTGGAGCCCCACCCGGGGGCAGCCCAGCTCGGCCCTCTGCTCCCCTGTCCAGGCTGGGCCCGGCCACCTCACCCCAGGGAGGAGACCGGGAGGGGGAGCTGGGGCTGCAGAGACCCTGAGTCCTGAGCTCTGCGCCTGTCATGCGGTTGACCGTTACAAAATGCTACAGGTTCGTGGGGTGCAGCTTCGAGGCAGAGAAAGGGCGACTGTCCCAGTCCCCGCTAGGGAGGGGAGGAGAAACCCTGCCCTGTCCACCGCACCTCCTCTGCCGGGGACGCTGTGGCCACCAACACTGCTGCGACAGCTCGGCCTGGGCGCGGGTCTCATCCTTGGGCCACTACCTGGGACCCCAGCGGCTGGCTCACGTCCCTCCGCTCACCCCACAGCTCTCTGGACGCCGGGGGCCCAAACTGATGGCCGACGATGTCAGCCACTAACAATGTAGCACAGGCCCGGAAGCTGGTGGAGCAGCTGCGGATCGAAGCCGGAATAGAGCGCATCAAGGTGAGCCAGGCCCCCAGTGACAGCGGGGACAGAGGGAGGAGGGCAGACACCAAGGGCACGCCTGGCTCCCAGCAGGCCCTCTGCAAAGTGGGGCCCAGCTGCAGGATGGGGGTTTGCTGTGTGACCCCGAGCCACTTGCTTGGCCTCTCTGAGCAGAAGGCGGAAGCTGACAGAACAGCTGCATGTCGAGTTCTTGTGGCACAGGCTTTGTGAGCACAGGGGCGGGACCAGCTGGGCCGTGCTCATGCCCGCCCTCAGACTAGCACTTTCTTTCTCCGCTGCTCCCTTGCCCGCCAAGGACAGGGGACAGGTGACAATCGAAATCACCAAACAGCCAGGGAAGGAGGAGCCAGACTTCTCTCAGGCTGCTTTCTATGCATCCGCAGAGTTTGCATTTTTTACAATAAACCTGTTTGAGTTTTGCACTAAAAAAGACAAAGGGACAGTACTTCCTGCTCAAGGCCTGGTCAGGAGGAGGAGGAAGTTCACAGTGTAGCCGAGAGGACCCTAAGGAATAAAGATTTACACGAAGCTCACCGCCTTTAAGCGTGAGGCACGTGTGCATTTGTGATGTTGCGTAACCACCACCTCCATCCAGTTCCGGAGCGTCTCATCACCCCCCAAAAGCCCCACAAGCAGCCACCAGTCCCCTCCCCCACGAATCCACTTCCTGTCTCTGGATTCCCCGGTCCCGGGCATTTCCTGTCCGCAGAGCCCATGCTGTGTTCTCTGTGTCTGGCGTCTCTCACTGAATACGGCGTCCTCAGAGTCGAGTGTCACGGCCTCGCTCTTCTTCCTGACCAAGTAATATTCCGGTGTGTAGACAAACATCGCTGTGCTGATGACTCTGAAGTCTCCACAGAAACTGCAGGCCTCACACAGGTCCCCTCTCAAATGCCTCTGCACCCCCAGGACACCATGGCCTCTATCGGAATGGGGTTCATAGCTTTCAAAACGCCCACTTGCCAACCTGTGCCCATCTGGCTAAGGACAGCAAGAACTTCCCACCGGCCGTGGCCAGGACACAGGTGGCCCGCAGCAAGAGGGGACAGGCTGGCCCCAGGGAGAAGTCCAGGTGGCCCTGCCCTCAGAGATCCACTGTGCTGGTCAGCAGTGGGGCAAGTGGACGGAGGGGATGGTGCCTGCCTATGGTTACACCCCACTCACTGGGCACTGGGCCGGCCGGCAGCTCATGCACAGCGGCGAGCAGCATGGCCAGACCGGTGCGGGCTGAGCCACCACAGTTAGGCAAGGGTGCTCTGTGACATTTGCACAAATCCCAGAGCGTGTCCTGAGTCTGTGGCGGTAACACTGTACCTGGAGAGAAACCCGAAGACGTTGGCTTCCTCTAAGGGTTTGGCTTCTCTGTGGGCGCAGATGTACAGAGCAGGGCAGGCTGGAACCCGGGGGAAGAGCTGAGGTCGCCTCTCAAAGCCCAAGGCCACTTGAAGGGGCCCCTGTGTTTGCACTGAGTGCCTTCACCTGACTAGACAAGGCCCACCCACTTTCTCTACTCCATTTAAATGTCCACTGTGGCCCGGCGTGGTGGCGCACTCCTGTGATCCCAGCACTTGGGAGGCTGAGGCAGGAGGATCATGTGTTTGAGGCCAGCCTGGGCTTCATAGTGAAGACTGGTCTCAAAGCAACAGAAAAAGAAATCTAAAAATACCTTCCTAGCAACATGTAGCACATTTGACAAAAAGAGAGAGAGAGACAGAGAGAGAGAGAGAGAGAGAGCACCCCTTGACCTGGATAAAGGGACCTATAGGGTGGTTGGTCCCCCGCCCCGTGTAACCATTCAGACCTGGGATTGTTAGAACAAGTCCCCCAGGCGCTCCCAGGGAGGCACAGACAGACTCACACCCGTGGGGGCCCCATCCCCAGCCTTCCTGGGACAGAGAGAGGAGCCGGATTGAAGTGTTTCCTCTGTGAGCTGTGCCAGCCAGCGGCCTCACCCCCCCTCTGATGTCAGGAGAAGCCCCGCCCTGTCCCCCGTCCCAGTGACAGGTAGTGACAGCGCGCACCCTGGGAAGTCAGGACTGAGCCCCTTCCCCAACCCTGCCAGAGTCCCCCCTGAGCTTTGTGCCCCCCACAGACTGTCCGGGCCATGGGAGGAGAAGCTGCTATAAATGTAGGGGCCCCAGGCTACTGTCCCCAGCTTGGACAAGGACAGCAGTCCCAGCCCAAAGCCCAGGTAGTGCTGGAGAGGGGCAGTTAAATCCTCAGCTTTTTTATTTTTTATTTTGAGACAGGGTCTCACTATGTTGTTCAGGCTGGATTCAAACTTGGAATCCTCCTGCCTCAGCCTCTCAGAGCCCTGGTATGACGGGCATGCGCCCCTATGCCCGCTTCCTCTGAATTTAGTTGTTCACTGAGCCCCACCCAAGCCCCCACCAGTGATGTTGTTTTTCCTGTTGTTGTTTGCAGTACCGGGGATCAAACTCAGGACCTTTCGCTTGCAGTGCAGGGGCGGTGCCGCTGAGCTAAATCCCCGGCCCACCCGTGATGTTTAACACGTTCCCAGTGCTGTATGACCACCGCCTCCACCTAGGTGTAGAGCACCCCATTACCCCAAAGCCTTCCCCGTCCCCACTGCACCCTGGCACCCCCCGAGTCCACTTCCCGAGTCCCCTGTCCCGGGCGTTTCCTGTCCACAGAGCCCACGCTGTGTCCTCTGTCTCTGGCATCTCTCACTGAGCACGGCGTCCTCGGGGTCTGTCCACGCTGTGGCGGGCGTCACGGCCTCGCTCCTCTTCCTGGCCGTGTAATACTCCATCCGCCGTGGAGACGCACGCCGACCCCGCCCCTGGGCCGTGAACACGCCCTCCCCAGCGCTCTTCACCGCCCCTCTCCCCTTGTGCCGCACACAGGTGTCCAAAGCTTCATCAGAGCTCATGAGTTACTGCGAGCAGCACGCGCGGAGCGACCCCTTGCTGGTTGGAGTCCCTGCCTCCGAGAACCCCTTTAAGGACAAGAAGCCGTGCATTATTCTATAGCTCTTCTCTCTCCCTCTCCCTCCCTCCCTGTCTGTCTGTCTGTCTGTCTCTTGCCCTGTCTCCGGCAAGGCATCAACCAAAACATCTCAGCCCCCTAAACTTTGGGTCCCAAACGAAATGCCTGCGCCCCCCGCCTGCCCCGAGGGGGTGACACCTCCGCTCCCGGGGTGGCCGGGCCTCCTCCCCCCACCCATCGGCACCCCTGGGGGGCTTCCCCACAGCAGGGATGGTGGCTTCCGGCCCTGCCCCCATGAGGAATAACCAGGCCGCCCGGTGCTGTGGTGACAATTTTGGAAAACTCTCCGTGGTGCAGAGAGCAGAGGGGGACAGGCACGGGGACAGGAGGGTGGTTCCAGACCTGCCGCCCGAGGGAAGCCTCCACACCGGGCGGCCGGGATCCTTTTCCTTTTGTAAGCAGAGGTCAAACTGGGGGTGAAGGGCTGACGTCACGAGCTTCTTTTGGGGGGAGAATTCTCTCCTTTCCGTTTCAGAAATCGTGAGTGCACCCCCACTGCCCCCGGGCTGGGGAGCAGAGAGAGGGGTTTCCTGGCGGGTGGGAGATGCCTACGGGGTGTCACCCTCGCGCGCGGCATTGGTCACTCCGCCCGCCACAGCACAGACGTGGATTTGCAGGACTTTGCCGGGAGTGGGGCTGGAAAGCGGGGGCACCGGCAGGTCCTGCCTCACTTCCGTATCTGCCCACCCCCCGGGCTGGCTGGCTGGTTGGCTTTCCTTTTATTGGGGTTGGGGGGAGCACTAGGGATGGAACCCAGAGTTTTCTCACTGAGCTCCATCCCGTTTACATCCTGGCCCGTTTTACTTTTTTGACACAGGATCTTAAATTGTCCAGGCTGGGCTCCAACTCGAAACCCTCCTGCCTCAGCCTCCCAGAGCCCCCCCCCCTCCAGCCAAAAGTTGCTGAATTATCTTGAAGTGACCGTAAGGACTCTCTGAGATGAGGTCCTTTGTCCCAGACACACCGGGGCCCATCACCCTTGATCGTTTTGACCTGGGCCCTTCAGTGTGAGGACAACAGAGACGCCCACTAGGCTCAGGGTGTGCGTATGGGTCCCTCCCGTCAGCCTGGCAATGTAAGATGACCTGGGGTGGGGCCGGGGCGGGATCATGACAAGGACAGAAACAGATGGCAGCAGGAAGAGGCTGCACACACACCCTTCCAGGGTTACCTATAGCCACACCTGCCATGAACCCTTAAGTAACCCAGACCCAGAACTGCCCTGGACCCGACAGTCCCCACAGCCCCTCCACAGGGTTCATCCCAGCAGCAAACAATGGAGAGAAAACTGCCTGGCTCTGTGGCCCGATGGCCATCGGAACCTAGGCCCAAGCCAGGATGGTCCCTGGACGGTTGCCCAGGTCGCCCATGCTGCCTGTGAGGTGATTCCCCAGCATTCCCGCGGCAGCAGGCCCTGTGTCCCCCGTCGTCCAGGCCTGTCGAGCAGGACGCAGATCCGAGCCAGTGCAGTGCCCAGGCTGCCCCAGCCCCTCTTCGGGGCCTCCGGAGGGCACAGGCTGCAGGCTCAGGCCTCTCCCTGTCACTGTTCTCTACGGCTGGTCCGGGAGGGCCAGGGTTTTGGGGAGCCTGGCTGTACCGGGCGAGGCGCAGTCTCCCCAAAGCCACACGGGCTGGGGCGCGGGTGGGGCCGAGTGTGGCCTCCGCATCCCTGCAGAGCGGGGGAAGGGACAGAATCCCTGCCCCAGGGCCTGGCCATGGGGGTGCTGGGAGCCTATAACTTGAGCACTGCGGCGGGGCAGGCTTGGCTCCCAGGGAGGAAGCCCCAGCCCGATGCTACTTTCCTAGGGTCCAGCTGGGTCCCCCTTCTCTTTCAAAGAAGACTTTAACCTTTTGAGCGGCCACTGTGCCCACCCTGCTGTCCCCCCGCGCATGGGCCCAGTGTTGCTCCTCTCTGTCACCACCCTGCCGGGACGGAGGGAGGGGAGGACACAGACGTGCCAAGCCCGGCCCCACAATGAGGCATCCCCACAAATGTCCCCTGGGACGCCGCCATGCTGTGGGGGGAGAGCGGGGTCCGAGCCTCTGGGCTCAGCTCTGTGGGCCCCAAAGGGGGGTCCTGAGGAGGAGTCAGGAGCCGGGTGCCGGGCCTCAGATGACTTCCCGGTGTCACCCCGGCCCCCCCATGCCCCACAACCTTCTCCAGGTGCCACCACCCTGTGCCCGAGTCCGGTGACCAGATGCCCACAGCCTTGGGCCTCAGGGATGTGGCACAGGGCAGAAGCCTGTGAGTTTCTTTCTGAGCTTAGGACAAAATCTTTTTTCCCTACCTCCCTGTCAGTGAACCCAGCGCCCTCCCACACAAAAAACAGAGAGTGCCCCCACTTTAAAAATTTGTTTCAGGGCCGGGGATTTAGCTCAGTGGTTCTGTCACCGGCCTTGCAATTGCAAGGTCCTGAGTTCAACCCCCGTACCAAAAAAAAAAAAAAAGTTAAAAAAATTTTTTTTGTTTCGTTTTTCTGTGTGATGGGACCTTAGGCTTTCACACCGAGCTCCATCCCCAACCCTTGGTTTATTTTTTAATTTTGAGACAGGGTCTCACTAAGTTGCTTGGTTGCCCAGGCTGGGCTTGACCCTGCTGCTTTAGCCTCCCAGAGTGCTGGGGTGACAGGTCTGTGCCACCAGCCACCCTCCTGGCTCCTCCCTCATCCTCGAAGCCTGGCCCGTGTTTCCCGGGGCTGCCTCTAGCGAGGGTGCAGGCAGAGGGGCCACTCTTGGCCGAGCCCCCTTCTAGGCCAAGGCCGGGCAGCCCTGTCCTTTTACCAGGAAGAAACTAGAACTCGCATCCCTGTCCCCAAGGTCCCCGAGGTGACCCCCACACCCAGGCCAAGAATGAATGGAGTGGCTCTGTTGTGAGGGAGGACAGAAGGTGCTGTCTCTCTGCGTCGTCCCTGTGACGTCGCGTCGGCTGGGGCCACCCTGCCTGAGCTCAGCAGGGACAGGAAAAGCCCACCAGACCCCTGCTCAAGCCATGAGCTGAAGCCACCTCCGGCCCCTGTCCTTGAGTGCACTCAGCATGAGCGGGCTGCGGCTGGGTCCCTCACAGAAGCCATAGGACACTGCAACGCGCCTCTCCGTCCACGGTCACCACTGCCAAATGCTGTCGGGCAGGGCCCTGTTTCTGGTGGCCCTGTCCCTCCCGCGTCTGGAGGTCCCTGGTGTTTCTTCCTGAATTTTTAAAACTATATGTCCCGCGCCCGCTCCCTCACAGAGTTTAATACCGTGTGGAATTATTGTTACTACAACCCTGTTCATACACGATAAATAAAACACTCATTTTTTCCTTTTCCCAGTCCTGCATCGTCCTTCAGTCCTGGGCCAGGGCACAGGGCAGGGGACAACCGTCTCCAAGCCCTGTCCAGCCTGGTGGCACACGCTGGATATACACGGGTCTACGCTCAGCCCCAGTGCACTTTCGGGCCTGCAGAGGAGCTATTAGGTAGCTGCACCCCTGGGCTTGTCGTGCACAGCCCAAAATTGTTTCTGTTTTGCCTTGCTCTCTCTTTCTCTTTTTTTTTTTAACTTCAGTACAGGAGTTGAGCCCAGGGCCTTTGCACTGAGCTACATCCCCAGCCCTTTTTAAAATTTTTACTTTGAAACAGGGCCTTGCCCAATTGCACAGGCTGACTTGACCTTGAGATCTTCCTGCCTCAGCTTCCCAGAGTGCTGGGATAATAGGTGTCCACCACTGTAGCTGGCTGGTACCAAGCTCTTTTAAAAGCCGAGAGGGTAGAATGGTCTCAGTCCCACTTCCTTGGCATTGCCCTGATTTTTCCACTCACCATGGATTGGCCAACCGCCCCTGCAGAAGAAGACATTTGAGAGTCACAACTCCATTTCCCATCACACGGGCAAAAGTTTTTAAAAAATTTGTTTTTGAGACAGGATCTCACTGTGTAGTTCAGGCTGGCCTCAAATTCACAATGATCCTCATGCCTCAGCCTCCCAAATGCTGGGGTTACAGGCGTGTGCCACAACACCCAGCTAAAAGTTGAAATTGTAATAATAAAATCTTAAATCTGGGCATAGCGGCACACACCTGGCATCAAGGTACTTGAGAAGCAGAGGCAGGAGGACCAACCTTTCAAGGCCAGCTTGGGCAACTTAGTGAGACCAGCTCAAAGTAAAAAAGAAAATGGGCTGAGGCTACAGCTCAGTGGTAGAAGTCCCCAGGTTCCATCCGTAGTACTGGAATAATAATAATGATAAAAGTGAGATCAAATGTGTAATTCTGACCTCTGAGGAGAGAGGAGCTTTGTCTACATAAAATCTTTATAAATATGGCTACAACATTTTGCCCAGTGAATTCCCTTTGTGTCCAGTAAATGCTGCTGGCCCACCAGCCACTTGATAGCTATCAGATAAACGGTCAGTTTCCTACTGCCCATGTTCAAGCCAGATGTGGTGACACACACCTGCAGTCCCAGCCACTCAGGAGGAGGAGGATCGCAAATCTGAGCCCAGCCTGGGAAGTTTAGTGACTTATCAAGACCATGTCTCAAAATACATTTTGTTTTTGTTTTGAGATAGTGTCTCACTATGTAGTTGAGACTGACCTGGAACTCACTATGTAGCCCAGGCTGGTCTCGAACTCACAGCAATCCTCCTGCCTCAGCCTCCAGAGTGCTGGGATGACAGGCGTGCGCCACTCAGAATAAAATTTTTTAAAAGGCTGGAGCTAGCTCAGTGGTGAGTACTTGCTTGGTACGTGGAAGGCCCTGAGTTCTCCAGCACCACGAGCAAAATAAAGAATCTCACAGCAGACCATATAGGCTGGAGCGGAGCCATTTCAGAAAACAGCTTCGGGTTAACCCAGGACAGCGAGGCCAGGGGCAAAGAGGCGGGTGGCGATTTGATCTGGGGCACGGTCTCCACGGACCCCCCCAGGCCGCAAGCCCAGGCCGCAGGTGGAGGGCGGCCCCAGAGGTCCTGGCTGCAAGCCAGACACCCAGCTGCAGGAAGTCAGAGCTATCAGCATGCAGAGCGGGAAGGGTGGGCGGGCGGAGAGGCTGCAGGGCCAAAGCTGGCGGAGCTGCTCCAGGCCAGCCACACAGGTCTGGGAGAAAACCTGGCGGCGGGGCGCGTTTCCAAGCACTTCTGAGAATTTCAAGGCCAAGAGCTGGCCAACACTGGGCCCTGGGTGATGTGGAGGTCACACCCTCGCGAGGTCAGCTCCGTCTCGGCCACCAAAACACCTTCCAGGCTCGCCAAGGGCTCTGTTCAAGCTCTCCTAGGACAGAAAGAAATCGCAGCAGATCAAAGTCATCCAACGTGGAAACCTTTCTTTCAGAAAGGAGCCCCCAGAGTCAGACCCACAGGGACCCGGAGGAGGACGGTGGTGCCGGACTGGGGAGGGGACGGGGTCAGCGTTTCCTGGGACAGAGCTCAGGGGGATGGAAAGTCCTGGGGGTGGACGCAACCGAGGGCTGCCTCCGTGCCGGTGAGCCGGGAGCTGAGGGCTAACGAGGTTAGTTTTCTTTTACCACTGAACAAATCAACTGAATCAAACCGACGTTCATCCGAATGACCAGAACAAAAAACTGGGTCCTGTGGGGATGTGCAGCAACCAAAGCTCACCAAGGCGATCCGCAAGACTGTGGTGGCCCCCGCCACACAGCACGTGGCCGGGCACTTTCGCGGGACCACAGACTCACCCAGGCCGTGAGCGAGCATTGCTACCTGGCTGTTTACCCAAGGGAAAGAAAAGCACACCCCCAAACGTCTCAGAAAGAACGTTCAGAGCAGACTTTCTCACAAGAGTCAAAAACTGAACACATCTCAGGTGTTCCTCTGCCAGGCACAGTGGCCCCTAACTGGCATCCCAGCAGTCTGGGAGGCTGAGGCAGGAAGATTACACATTAGACTCCTCCCACTTGGGCAATTTAGCTACTTAGTGAGAACCTGTCTTTTGTTTTGGCTTGGTTTGGGGGGTTTGGGATTTTTTGTTTGTTTGTTTGTTTTTGGTTTGGTTTTTTGAGACAGGGTCTCACTATGTACTTCAGGCTGTGCTTGAAGTCACTATGTAGTCCAGGCCTGCCTCGAACTCACAGTGATCCTCCTGCCTCAGCCTCCTCAGTGCTGGGATTACAGTCATGTGCTACTGCTCCCAGCATGGGACCCTGTTTTAAAATAAAAAAATTTTAAAAAGGGCTGAAGATGTAGCTCTGCACAAAAGCCTTGTGTCACTCTGGGAGGCTGGGGCAGGAGGGTCTCGAGTTCAAGCCCAGCCTGGACAACTTACAATTGATTGAGAACCTGTCTCAAAAATAAAAATAGGGCTGGGGATTTAGCTCAATGGTTCCACCGCCTGCCTCCCAAGCGCAAGGTCCCAAGTTCGATCCCCAGTACCCAAAAAGAGCCAAACAAACTAAAAAATAAAAATAAATTAAAAATAAAAGGGCCTGGGATGGAGCTCAGTGTACAGTCCCTGGGTTCGATTCCCAGGACCATAAACACATTACCAGAAACTAAAAAAAAAGCCCAACTTTGGGTGACCCAAAATGTTCTGCGGAGACCTTTCCCAGCTTCCAAGGGCTGGGAGCTGCCCCCTGCAGAACAGAGCTCGGTTTTCCTAAGACACCTGCTTGGGCCAGGGATGGTGGAGACGCCTACACAGGGCCCCATTTCCCACGGCGATGGCCTCAGGGCTGGAAGGAGTGGGTCTGCCAGGCCCTGAAATCACTCCCACAGAGACAGCAAGGTGGCCCCGGAAGGCACAGGACAGGCGAGTGTTGCCACAGACCTAGGTCTGGGACTTCCAGTAACTCCTGGCT